TCGCGCAGACAGCCGTCCCGTCGGCAGTCCAGCAGAACCGTGTTGGGGGGGCATTGGCTGTTACGTTTCTTCTGTCACAAAGTGGGGAGTGCTTTGGAACCAGTGATGGGCTTGTTAGTGATTGGAGTGATGTGGTTTTTAAATTATTATTTAATTTTATTCATTCAGTTATTTTAGTTTGACCAGAGACACACACACACAGCGAGAGGGAAAGTAAGAAAGCAAGCCACCAGGTCCGGGACTGGAACCGCGGTTGGCCATGTGGGAGTGTCCAGAGCCTTAACCACCTGCTGGCCCCAGAAAGATGTGTTTTTTATGAGAAAGGCCAAGCATGTGGGCGGGTGGGGGACAAAGAGAGAGAATAGGTGTCTTCAGTAGGTTTCACCTCTGCTTCTCCTTACCCCAGCCTCCCACCTAACTAGGGCCTGTTCAGGTCAGTCTGGGATTCGAACACTGTGTGTTCCCAGCCATGGGCAGTGGCATCCCATCTTTGCAGCACTGCATCTGGGCTGAGTGGGATAGTTTTGTTTTTTGTTTTTAGTTTTTTCCCATAAGGCATGTGCACTTGATGGAGAGACACCGAGAGGAAAGTGAAAACTCACCCTTCAGGGATTGGCCACACCACAATCCCTTCTCCTTTACCCTCCTCTCAGGGTTTTGGGCACGCACGTACATGTGCCCGGTGTGATTTTCAAACCATTGGTCCAGACTTGAACTGTGATTTGCCGTGTGGGGTCCATCACGCCACCTGCTGACCCCCTGCGTGTTTTTAGTTTCCTTTGTATGAACCTGGACCCACCCATGGAAGGCACCTCATGTGCGTTAATGAAATTATTGCACCTTAGTGAGTGATGACCAAGTTGAATAGAAAGATCAAGATGAACAGATAAAAAGGGAGTCTTCTCGATCTCACTGACAAGAGGTTGTGGTTTAAAACTCTGCGCATGCTCGAGGCCGGACGTGGCTTTCTGTACATGGGCCGTCAGCACAGCGGCCAGCCTGAGGGACCACTTTGGGCAGATCGGCGCGGGTGCCTGTGTATTTAAAATGAGAGGAATCGGGGGATGCCTGGAGTCCCTGGAGGCAGTAGGAATTTCGGTCTATGATGCGCGTGTTAAAGATTTGAAGCAGCCAATCCTGGCATGACTGGGGTTGCTGTGCTCATCCGCTCAGGGGCCTAAGGGGACACAGGCCTCCTCATGGCACTGGCCCCTCTGCCGTCTCCCCCAGTCCCTTGAACATGGTGTAAATGGTGGTTTGCTTAGGAGCGGGAAAATTCACGGTCTCGTGGCAGTGACTCGGGGTGGAGCATCCGTGGAGACTGCAGCTCCCCAAGAGGGTCAAGGGAAGGGAAGGGTTCAGCGGTTCTGCTGGAGGGCTGCCATGTGAGGGAGGAGATCAGCCTCTCCCGGGCCCCGGGCCCCAGGCCCCAGTCACCTGCGAGGGAGGAGGGCAGGAGTGAGGGGGGGGCATGTCTGCAGGGCTGGGAGGACATGAGGGGCTCACTGCCAGGTAGTGCAGCATTACTGCCAACACCTCTGCTTGCTGGGGGCAGACAGACAAACAGACAGAGGGAGGAGGCAGCCCCCAGTGGGGTGTGATCATGCTGAAATCCCTTCTCCTCCGTTCTCCATCCTACCAGGATTTCGTGCACGCACATGTACACACATGCCTGGTCTGTTTTTCAAGCTGCCGAAGCTGGGATTTGAACCACGCAGTAGCCCATATGAGATCTGGCTCCCTTAACCACTAGTCTCTGGGGTCAGCCCCATCCTTTCCATTTATAACTGAGCAAGTTGGGGTGGGGGAAGTCAACCTGCTTGCTCAAGATCTTACAGTTAAAAAGCTGCAGTCTCTGAACGCTGGGCAGCTTCCCTGAGGGCTCTCCCCGTGCCCGCAGATCGCTGGCATGAGCCGCCGTGGCTCCGATTCAGATTCCTCGCCCTTCTCTAGCAAGGCCCAGGGGCACGCCCTCTGCAAAGGCTGTGTACCGCGCCGCGGGCTCTGATGGGCAGCTGTGGAGATGGGCCGTTACGTTTAATTACAGATTATATTAATAGTATACTATTAATACGACTATATTAATAGTATACTATTAATACGATTATATTAATAGTATACTATTAATACGATTATATTAATAGTAATTCGGACTGTAAAGCAATCCCAAATATGATTTTTCTGTAATTAAATTAATGCTGCTTTTCTTGGTTAGCTCATCTTAGATTGGAATTGGGTCCATTTTAGAAAACAATAGTTTTTATTTTTTTATTTTAGAGGTTTTTGACTTAGACACATGCATTCACAAGAGAGTATATGTTTTTTGTACTATAAGTAAATAGAAATAAGAAGCCTTTTGTATAGAATTTTTGAAACATTATTTAATTTTATTTATTTTGTTCAATTTTCATAGCACATGTGCATTCATGAGAGGGAGAGAGCAAGTTGCCAGGTCCGGGACTTGAACTGCCTTCGGCCATGTGGGAGTCCAGTGTCTCAACCACCTGCCAGCCCTTGTTTAGAATTTTTAAGCATCTTTATTTATTTCCTCATGAGAGAGAGACAGACAGAGTGAGGAAAGCACCTCATCGGTCCCCATGCTGTGAACACTTGGCTCAGCAGGGCCAGATCTGCAGAAACACAGGCACCCCGTGTGCTCAGGGACTTGAGGTCCTAGGAGTGAACCTAGAACTTTCTCCTGTGGGACCAGTCGCACTGCCACTGTGCCCACCTGGCCCTAGAACTTGTACTCTGAGTTGAATGGACTTGGGGGGCCAGGATGGTGCCACTGCATGGTGCGGCCCGCGGCTGCCAGTGGGGACGGGGTG